AGGGATGGAGAGGAAGCAGAGGAGATCAGAGGTGGAGGAAGAGGGTGGGGATGGATTTGAAGGGGCGGGGTGAAAGCAGGAGATTTCAGAAAAAAACTGATATGAGGGGTTCAATTGTGAATACAATTATGTTTGTGGTTGGTATAGTACTGTACAGACACTTTCTACACTGCAAAGTGAACATATGTTTTATGGTTTATCATTAAAGCAATTTAACATGGAACACACAAGCTCCCAACAACCCCTGCATATGTTTCTTTTTGTTTAAACCAATTATTGTATTTCTAAAGACCTTCTAGAGATGACTGTGTCTGCCTATTACTGATAACCCTGAATGGTGGCACGTGTTGCAGAAATGTTGGCATTACCAGAAAGCCGGTCTGGCAGAACTATTCGCCCAACTGCTATCAGACTGCTTTGTTACACAGCTGTGCTTTGTCATCTGTGCATAAACTGCTTGTTTCTTTGTCATTTATGTGTCTATAAAACCAAGAATAACATTTTTCCCCCTGCATTTAATAAATGTAACGGCTGCCCCCTAATAGTCGACTTAATCAAAAACAACGTCAAAATCTGTTCAACTTGTCACTGGGGTGAAATTGTCTTGTAATACAGGGAGTCACTGTTGCATGTGCTAAAGCTGCTACCACAGGCTACTTAGCAGTCCTATTAGCTGACTGTACTTGGACTAGGAGCTCAAAAGACAGGGGAGAGTAATTATACTCCATTACAGTGTATGAAGAGATAAAAGATGGATGGAAAACGAATTGCTTATGTTTCTGAATTCCCAGAATGATACAATAACATATTTGCTTAATATCGAATATTTTCTTGCCAAAATCAGCATAGAGATGCAGCTAACAGGTCTGTTACATTAACACTGTTACAAAAACAAAGAGAAATTGATTCTCTGAAATGTTGCAATCTGCTAGCAACAGTAGAATTGTAGCTTAGGTGACACATTTCATTTGATTGGTAAATTGTGGTAAATACCACACCAACCAATGCTTAACACCCTCACAAGACCCTTTTTTCTGCCGTAATGTGAATACGGTTTAAGAAGAAGCTAGTGTTGTTATTTTTGCACATTTCATTGTTTCTTTGATATGTCTACGCATACAAAAACCCAGACCTAATGGATCCATTGTGTAGCCTTTAAAGTGGAGTTTTATGTGTTAACTCAGATAACACAGGTATTTTTCCATGATTTCAGATGAACTTAATATTCATCTCCACCACCTTCATCTTTAAATGATAGATCAAAAGCTGATCTCTGCAGGTTAACAGCATGACTCCCATAACACGTACATCACACACACACACACACACACACACACACACACACACACACACACACACACACACACACACACACACACACACACACACACACACACACACACACACACACACACACACACACACACACAGTGAGGGCATCAGGCAGGAAATCAATTATCATCAAGACCCCTATGAAATATTTCACAACTGTGTTACCCACTTCATTTTCCACTTCTATAAGGGATAGAGGCTCTCACAGGTCAGACAGATGAAAGGCAATAGAAAACAGAGATGGTGTCTGATTGCCCTCCGAGTCAATACACAGGAATTAAAAGAGAATAAAGAAGTACAGGTGCTTGTGATGGGCAAGGAAGAGAGGAGGACACTGTACACCAGAGAGACAGAGATGGTATGTGAACAATGCAATGGCAGCTCAGGTTACATAACTAAATCAACAGCGGCTGTTGTTTTCATTAGGTCGTGGCTACAAACTCCCTAATGTGATGACTCTGTGTACTAGCATACGGCACTCAAACAACTTACAGACAGAACGGGGATGAATGAATGTGTGGAGAGACACAGAGAGAAACATTCAGAGAAAGTGAGCACCTACAGCCAAGGGAATAGAGCAAATATGGGGAGAAAAAGGGGAGTGAAGACATGTTTCTATCCACTTTATAAATGTTGAAAAATTGAGATAAATTGTTAATTTCATGTGGTTGCATCAGGTGGGTTGAAGTAAATAATCTTCTGAATGTCAAAAAACAGTATTAGAAAAACTGGAGCTTTCAAGAGCTGTTTATTATCAGGCAGGGTGTTGGTGTTCCACAGTGGTAAAGCTGATCGTATTATGTGAATTTCTGGCAAAATACTGCAGACAGTTAATGCTAATGTTTCAAACTCCTGACATGTCTGACGTGTGCCAAATCTGCCTTATTTATTTCTATCTCCATTGCATGTTAGACTTTGCAAATCACAGTAAGCGTGAATGGAAATAAGGGATAATTGAAAGTAAAGAGAAAACTGACCTTTAACAACACAGAGTGGGCATGCAATGTGTTTACAATGGACCCCTGTGACTGGTGTGGTGAGCTTTTGATGGTTAGCTACTATTCATGGTTTGAATGCAGCATATTACAATAAACAGGAATAGCTTAATAATAGTATTTAAATATATGTGGGTGTTTTTTGTAGATATTTTCTGTTAGATTACTATGATGCCCTCTGGATATTCAAACTGATGAGATTGCACAACTTGAAATTAAAATTAATTAAAATTTTAAGATAATCTTATCCAAATTGCCTCTGGAACGAGTTAAGTTCATTAAAAATGGTAGATACACTTAGTTTTACACATCTTTGCTTGTGCACATATGGGAGATATGGAGAGAATTTAACAGTATCCAGAAGCAATCTTACATTGTTTCGTTTGTGTGTGTGTGTGTCCTTAATTATACATGCACATGCATGTCTTTCCAGTGTGCATACATGCATTTTGCACTTTCAGCATGAGCATGCATGAATGTCACAGTGCCTGAGGGATGATGGCAACATTATGGAGACAGAAATGCATCAGACACATTCATATACACATAAATAATAGTTCTACTCCTATGTGGACTCGCCCCTGCTACATTCAATCTCTTCTTTACACCAAAAGTGCCCCTTGTACAAGTGACAACAACTGGCCAGAATGACTTTACCTTTACTCCACATGCAATTACTCTAGAGCTTTAAAAGTCATACTTGCTCTCATAAAAGACGCCCACACACAGATGGTTATACAAAAAATGTCTCTCCATATACATTTAAAGTGGTTTATTTTTCTATCTACCAGAACACAGGTTTAGTAACTGAAAATATTGCATGCAATCTATATTCTTCAAAAAAAAAATGCTGTGTGTGCATGCGTCTGTGTGAGTGTATGTTCCAGGTTTAAAATCAATAAACGCTGTATAGGCCAGATGTTTATGCTGATGAAAATCAATGCCCCCTCTCAGTTCTGATGCCATCTGTGAAGATGTAGGCTAGATAATGTGATGTGACTGTCTGTGGTTTGTTCACAAAAGATTCTCTATACGTTTCCTATAAAGCAAGCTAAGCCTTATGTAAGAGCATTTCAGATAATCTTGAAATAAGACACCCAATCTTGCAGAATGATTGAAACTAAGACAGAAACATGTTCTACCAACCACCTGTTTTCAAACATTTAGATGAAACCCATCTGTATCTGTATCTGTGGTGCATTTTACAACTTAAATCTGTGCAAACTTGTTTTTTCTTTAGTCGTGTCTTATTCTGATAGCGGCTATCCCAGAATGCACAATAAGTATGTGTTTGTGTGTATGAGATTCAGTGGTTAGGAAAGAGTCTATGGGTTCCATGTTTATTTGTGTGCATTGTAGTATAGCACTGGTTTTTAAAGGGGATAACAAGAGCAAATATTATTCAACTATGGTACCACAATCTATTCGCCAGCCACTAACCAAACACACCACACCATGATTTATATAAGTATTGTTATTCCTAACATTCTTAACAACCCATTTGTACACTGTGGGTACTATGAAGACTAAAAGTGTGCCACAACGCCCTCTGCACACTGTGAATGACGCACTGAGCATTGTACTCTGTAACTTCATCTACAAAAAAGACTGTGTTTGCCTTGGTGTATGCTTTTGAATGTCAATCCATCTACGTAAACATAGGACAGACTGGTGTAGAGGACACTGCTTTAAAGATACAATTGCAAGATACATGACTGGTTTCCTCTTCTGTATAACACCATTGGCCCAGCTCTCCCAGTGTGCAGAGTGACCTGCTTTTCCCCATTTCCAGCTCATCGAGCAACAGCCAAGAACAAGGACAAGATTGCAGGCAGGAAAAAACAGATCATGTTTGACATCTCTCGACACATAACACAGAAAAATAAATAAATAAATAAATGAAGAGATAAAAATTTTACTTTTTTGGCAGTTATGACGCTGAGTTAAAAATACTCCTGGCTGCGCTTTGGACCTGAATCTTAAAAGGTACAGCAACCCAGGTGACAGACTAGAAAGTGCATAGAATACTTCTACGCTTTGCGCACCTCATATCGGGTAAAAGCCAAATATCTCCAGGTTTGACATTTTGAAAGTAATCTTTTAGATTTTAATTTAGGTGCCTAGAAATATTATCATATGGGATTTTAAGCTTTTCAGGTTACTTTTCCTCTCCTGTCTCCTTTAAAATAGTAAAATAGTTTGCACAGGTTTACAGTACGAGTATGTAATGCACATTTGAAGTGCTATAGGCACTATATATGTTCTTGGAAATAACAAATGGCATGCAATAAACAAATGGCAACAAATGAGCATTCTGAACTGACAACACCGGATTCACAAATGACCCTTAAAGCCACTGCAAAACAATTTTCTTCATCACCTCTGTTGTCAACAGCCAATAATGACATGAAATTTACATCTGAGCGGTTTATTAATTCAATTATTTCTGGGTAATGAAGTCCATCAAATAAAAGAAAGTCAGCTATGATTGATATGCAACCCCAGCTGCATTGTGCAGCCTCAAATGTAGCCTATTTACTTTAAGACTTTTCAGACTTCTTCCCGCAGTGAGTGACAGGAAACTACATTTGAGGTGAAATGAAGCTCAAAGCAGATACTGTTTTTTTCCGGTCCACCTCCATTCCACATTTCTGCCACCCACCACAAACGTACCTGCAGCGCACTGCTCCTCATCTGCTCCGTTCTCACAGTCCCTCTCTCCGTCGCATCGCCATGACAACGAAACACATTTGCTGGCAGCCCCACCGCAATCAAACTTCTCTGGTGGACAGGTCTGTCGGCCTGTTGTGAGGGGGTTGAGGAGGTGAGAAACAGCAAGGGAGAGAGCACGGTGGGGGAAGGCCGGGGGGAAAGGATAATTGACAGCAGATGAGAACGTTGGGAGAAATGGATGGAAGAAAACAGGGGGCAAAGAGGGATAGAGAATGAAGACGGAGAGTAAAATGAGAGAAAAAATAGGGAGGAGGCAAAAGATAGAGAGAGAAGGGACAGCCAGTCAATGAAACAGTTTGATAACTTAGTTATCTTGTTGCTCAAATCGATTTCCCCTCAAAGGCCGGCAATTAAACTAGACACACAGTGACAGAGGAACAAAGAAGCAGGAACACTGTCAGGCAACACAAAGCAAGGAATAAACATACACACTCAGACATACACACACAGAGTACACAAACCAAAAAAGACATGAAACACAGACAGGAAAATACACTCAAAACTCAGACATGACAAGCAATTTTTTGTAATTGTCTGATGAACAACTAAGGTCAATAAAATGTCAAAGAATTGTGAAAGAACTCAAAGTGACATCTTCAAATTACTTGATTTGACTGACTAACATTCATCTGACAACCCAAAGGTTTTCAGATTAAAATGATATAAAACTAAGAAAATCATCATATGCTTGCAATCAAAAAGATTAAAACAGTGAATGACAAATTGATAAATGACATACACAATGAAATAATGATTAATTATTAAAATTGTTCTATACAATTAAACAATTAATCACTTCAGCACACACAAACACAATAAATCTAAAACTGAAAACACATACACACAGAATACAGACTACCAATATACAGTTCTGTGCTTTCTTTCAAATGTGAAACCTTATTCAATAAAAACATTTTTTTGAGTGTACATCAGTGTAAGTGAATGAAGTGAGAAAGCACACGTAACAGTTTGTCAAACCCCCCCCACACACACACACACACACACAGCGTGTGTGAATGAGGAAGTGGTCCCTCCTGGTAAAAGCCCATTACAATAGAGAAGGCCATTGTTCCTACATGTGTAACCCGTGGGGTTGGTACAGGTAGGAAAAATACAGCCGTCCAATACATCAAATTTACACTGAGTCCCCACAGCAAATCCCTGTTCCTTCTTCTTGCAAACCACTACACTCCCTCACCCTGCCTCAACCCCCCTACCTCCCTCTTCAATCTCTCTCACACACACACACACACACACCCCATAACACCATAGGGACTCTAGTCCCAGATTACATTACAGCGCTGTGTCAAGCTCAACTCTATCAATTATACATATTTGACCACCAGAATGCTTCTTGGCAACCAGCCTGAGTGTTTGTGTGTGTTTTTTTTTTTTTTTTTTTTTTTTGTGTGTGTGTGTGTGTGTGTGTTATGCAGCCACAGATCAATAGTACCTATGGGAATCGTCCATTTTAGTTCTTATTCTCTTTTTTATTCATCTCGTATATCTTTCTTTTCATTTTTATTTTTAACAGTACTGAATAAATTGCTGCCATTCAAGCGCTGCCCCTCATGGAGGGATGCTGGGAGCCTTGTTGGTAGTGATTGCCAGGATTTTTTCCTACTGTGCAGTCTACCTTGCCAGGTTCTACACTACACTACACTACACTACGAGGCTACTTGCAATTTATTTTTCTACGGAACTGGACAGGTTTGGGGTTTGGATTCCTCTCTTGTCCTATCTTTTGTTGGTGTTGACCTTTTGGATGACCACTGCCCTTCCTCATCCCTGTCAATATTCCTCCTACTGAATATCTGGCCCTTGTGTGAGCATCTTCAGTATTTCAAAGAGCAAATGCCTCCTGCAAATCCATTTCAAGAGAGTGAGCGAGCGAGAACTGTATAGATAATGATTAATGCGATGGTGTTACTATGAATATTGATGGTAGGTGTCTGCCGGTGTGTTAATCTGACGCAGGAGGCCAGGGAATTGTCTGACATCAGGCTTACTGTTCAATCAATTGAAATGTGTGTTGGTTTGTGTGAGATACTGCACAATATACAGTAGATAATACAAGTTTTGTGTCTCACATTATTGACTTATTCTGAGTGTGCATGTATGTGTGGGTCAGAAGAGTCCAGTCCAGCTACTGTCTGAGGCTTTCTCATTCTAATATGAACCCAAACACAGAAATACACCCCCCCAGGGGTTCAGTCCACTAAGTGTCTGATTGACAGCTGGGTTAAAATGATGTAATTTGTCCGACTGACCATTTCGGGCCCTGGGAGTCGAGAAGGATGGAGTCATGGATGAACTGCCAATCAAATGACTAAATACAGACCAGCGAGAACAACACAGAGCTCCACTGACAATGATTATGACAAAATCAATTAGATGATTTTTATCCCGTGGGTAATAATGTTCACTAAATGAAAAGGACAATTCCAATTTCCTATTGTTATATATTTAAGTAATAATTTGTGACTATTAAAATGTCTGCTCAGTTGCTCTCCATTGGCTTTTGATATAATACAATAGCAGTCCTACTCATACATTCATACAGTCTATGAAAGGTTTTCTATTTGCGGCCTCAGTCAGCCAGAGCATCGCAGACTATTCACAGAGAAAACTGGTATGTGCAAGATAAAAGATATGTTTCACATTGCCCGCAGAGGCAAGAGCAGTTTGTTTGGAATAAACAAAAGTGTATTACATGAAGGTAATTAGCATCATTAACAACAGCTAGAAAGCCAACATGCCAACTAAAGTGAGAGAATCGAATATATTTTCTGCACTTCACAGAAATCACATAATCACATAAACTCATTAAAAAATTACATTTAAGAACATTTTAACACAGCTGTAATAAACGTTTAGCACTAGATTGTAAACCAGAGAACAGAAAGAATCATCTCAACGATTTTTTATCAAGGTTGTTGCCGTCTGACTTTGCAAATCCAGATGGTGATGGTGCTGATAATGAAGTTGTAGTCAAGGTACTTTTCTTTTACCCTGACTTTTGAAAGTCAGTGCTTAGATTTGCCCTCTCTTTGTTCCCCTCTCACTAAATGCTGACAGGTGTATCCGGCGGCATGGCAGGCGCTGTGGAGCATTGATGGACTTATCGACAGTAAGCTGGGGACACGTCTGTGCCTGCAGAGATATTGCCGACTACGATCATATTCCAGGCCAAGTGCAATATCGACTAGAACTCACACCACAGAAAACTATGTAAAAGGTTACAGCTTTACAAAACAAATATATACAACAACATACTAAAATGACGATGGTGCAACTTTGTACACATACATATAGATGGATGTAGCAAACACAAATGTATACAGGTGTTCATGGATTAGGGTTAGGGTTAGGGTTAGGGTTAGGACCCTGCCCCCCCCCCCCCCCACCCCCACACACACACATAACCAGAACTACTTATAGCTATAAATCATTTTCTCAGCTGCCAGTCATAGGCGTTTAACTGCATTCACTATTCTTTAGACTTTGCTTTGAATTAATATTTTATGGGCTATAAAACTCCTGGGCCACAGAGATGAATACTGGGCTGTTAGCAGTCAGCTAGCCTGCTTACCGCCAAGGCCTACGGTGCATTACATCTGAGGAACTAATGCTAGCCGTGCTCCAGTGGAGCTGCTTGGTGGTGAGCAATACATTATTGAATAAGTGTGAAACAGGGTCAAAACAAATGTGTGCGGTCAGTGAATGTATACAGGTTACATCAAGGAAAAGCAAACAGATAAACAAACACAATTGGCCGGATGACAAGGTCAGACCTTTTACTTCAACTTCCATTTCTGTGACATATACAGGCAATATGATCCTCAATAGATTCAGCCCAGTGCCCTTTTAATTAGGCTGTAACCTTCTCATACATTAATTTCAGTCGCCCTGGGTTAGCAGTGATTTGCCTGTCAGCGTGTGCGGCTATTTTCTCAGTATGAGACTGCATTAGAAAGTGGCAGGGGAGAGATGTAAAAATTCAGTTCTGTTAAATAGGGAAGGATTTAGAACCTAGAAGGTGAATGTTGCAGAAGAGTAGCGCTGTGAAAGGACACCTTGGAATCATCATTGTAACAGGAGAAGCAGGGAATACTACAGGGATTGTCTTCCGCTTCTGATACAGCATCTAACTGTATGCAACAGCTAAATGTTGTCACTGAACTTTTTGAGCAACCTCAACATCTTATGAAAAATGAATTAATAGAGGTTTATGTTGAAAAAGTGTTAGCAAACTGGCACAAGGTGAATTTGTTCTGGCCACAGGAAATATAATGTGAAATGTAATAAAGTTTTTTTGGTCAGCTTATCGACATAGAGCCGACTGTACCTGTGAAAATATAAAGTAAAGGTTTAGTGAGATTTTATGGCTTTATTGTATTTTATTTTTTGGGGGGGAGGAACTGTCCTTCAAAATGAGTCTTTTTTCTAAAATTCTCGGTCTTAGTATTTTAGAAATTGTGCTATGGATTCTAAATAGGTTTTGCTGGTCCTGGGGTCAGAAAACTCATTTGGCACATAGGAGACGATGCAGTCTTTTAATTCAAACAAGTCCACAACCAGAAGTGGTACAGACTTGTTATTCTCCTCACATGGCCTGCTTAAGTGTCTATTATGAGCAGGGTATAGGGGTGGACTGAGCAGGGCGATGTATGCTAATGAACTTTTGATTAACTACCTTCTTAATTTCCCTTCACAAGGAGGGAGGGGATTGGAGTATTGTGGTGTGGCATAACGTCCACTCTACAGCTGTCTGACTAGCATCAAAGCTAGCCTCCCAGCTGATTGATTCAGGTGGCTTGTAGCCCCGCAGGCTAATGCTAAGATAATTTATTTATCATGAGGTATATGTATGAGGCCGGGAGGTAATACAAGTCATTCTTAAGTCACAGTGCGACAGTACGTCAAAACCAAGGCACATGGGAGGGGCGTATGTGATAATATCACACATGTTCGGGAAGCTTCCGGATGATTTACCCTGTACTAAACTAAGGGTTATAGTTGCATGAATTTAAAATGCTTAAAGGCACACTGAATTCCCCGGGTAATCG